ACAAGCGTGCCCAGGTGCTGGGAACACACAACGGGGCAGAACGGGACAGAGCGGTGCTGTGAGGAGCCCCCGCACAGCGTGCTCGTTCCCATCTGACCCGGAGCCTTTCGGAGGCGTTTTTCCTGCAGCTGACCTCGAGGTCAGACCACAGGACTTGGTGACCCGTGGCCTTCCCGAGGCTTCTCTTCTGCAGGTGCCCGCACAAAACCAGTCATTATCATGGAGCAGAGACCCCTGAAAACGCCCAATGTGGCCTGGGGGGAAGAGGAGGAAGAAGGCCCTGGAGCTGCCCCAGCACATATAACCAAAGCAGTGGTGCTGTTTGAGCTGCTGCAGGAGGGCGAGTGGCAGAGCGGAGCCACAGGGTTGGTGCCCGCAGCCAACTTGGCGCCATTCCATCCCACCCCATTTTATCCCATCCCACCCAATCCCATTCCATTCCCACGGACAGGACGGAAGAGGGGCCGGGCAGACACCCCGCAGGGGCCCTGCTCCATCCCCTGGGGCAATCCCGGGGCTGTCCCTGCCTGGGGAGCGCAGGGCTGGGCTGTGTTCTCCGGCCTCTCCCGCAGCCCCTCAGCTCTGGCTGCGCTCGCTCTTTGCCAGGTGCAGCCCTGCAGCGCACACAAGAGCAGGACCCCGCCCGTGGCCTCTTCCGCAGCACAGCCCAGGTACCTGCAGCCATCCCCACCTGGGCTGGGCCTGCTGGCACCGCGCTTGGAGCATTCCCTGCAACATCCCTGGTTTCTTGCCCTTCTCCTACAGGTGGTCTGCCAATTCATCAAGAAGATTCGGCAGGAAGAGACCAGCACCATGGGCACTGGGCTCAGAGCATCTTCCCACATCTTCAAAACCAAGACCTCTGCTTGAGGTGTCACTGGGCCTCATGAAAACAAAGATCTTTTTTGATACTATGGGGGCTTATGGAACCAAGGGACAATTGTGGTGCTGCAGGGCCCCAAGCAGGTCTGGTTGGCTTGGCCTGACTGGTCCAGCTGATCTTGCATGTTGAAGGTTGCTTCTCATCTGCCCCTAAAACTCTGGAGTTCTGTGCTTTCTTTCCTGTGGGAAAGAACTCTCCGTTTCCTCCAGGTGTTCATGGCCAAATTTAGGATTTTACCTCCATATTTGATTAAATCCAAAGATTCTTTCTATCTAAAACCTGCTAGAACAGACTCCTCTGGATGGCCTTGGCATCTTGGGGGCCACCTCTCATCTGCCTTCAAAACACTGGAGGGATGTGCTTTTCTTTCCATTGAAAAAAACATTTTCGATGCAGGCGTCTCTGGCCAAAATTGGGAATCTTCCTCCAAATTTCCTTATATCCAAGGATAGCTCCCAGACAAAAGCTGCCAGGACTGTCTAGGTTCCCTTGGCTTCCTGAGGGTCAGCTCTCACCTGCCTGTGAAATACTTGGGCTCTGTACTTTCCTTCCTATGGAAAAGAACTGTCCTTCTTGTCCAGGTGCTCATGGAAAAACTAGGATTTGGCATCCCAAACTCTGTCTATCCAAGGATTGCTCCCAGACAAAAGCTCTGAAGACAAACAGGTCTAGCTCGCCTTGGCCTCCTTGAGGCTGCCTCTGATCGGCCTTCAAAACTCTGGGGCTCTGTGATTTCCTTCCTGTAGAAAAGAACCATCCTTCTTGTCCAGGCACCCTGGCCTCAAGCACATGAGCACTGTACAGGGACAGAGGAGCTCTGTGCTCAGTGGGGTGGGGACTGAGGACAGCAGAGGAGAGCCCTGGGAGGGATTGAAGGGAGGTTTCAGAGATGGTGGATCCTTTTAATATAATAGTAAACAGGGAGAAAAATGGAAAAACTTAATGTAAATTGCCACTGAGGAGATCAAGACTGGACAGAAGGACAAAGGAATTTCCCTTGCAGGGCAGGGCTGTGGTGCAACACATCCCCCAGAAGGAGTCTGGGTCAGCCCCGGGCTTTGTGTGGGCAGGCAGAGGCAGGCAGGAGGACGAGCTGTCAGCGAAGGAAGGGCCCAGCCAGGTGGGGCAGCAGGGGGATGCTGACAGCCTGCAGGGACAGAGGCGCAGGGCAGGGATACCGTAGGACAGCCTGGGCTGCACAGGGCACAGGGATGGGCAGCAGCTGCAAGACAGCCCTGCCAGAGCCAACTTGGGCAGCACTTTGACCATGGCTGCTGGCCCTGGGCCTGAGGCAGGAGCAGGAGACAAGTGACCCTTGCAGGGCTGGGGCCTCATCGCCTCCTTGTCCCTGCTCAGCAGCCTGGCAGGGGCCGCCCCATGCTCCTGCCCTTGGCACTGCACATCCCCACATGCCAGTGCCCATCCCGGCAAGAGCCCTGAGCAAGGAGGGAGGGACAGGATCTGCCTGGCCAGGGGCTGGGGATCAGGCCTTGGCCCTTGGCATTCCTCAAACACATCCAGCTTTGCTCAGCACCAGAGACACCTCTTCCTTGCTTGTCCCCATCTGTCATCACTGCCTCCAGTGCTCTGCTCTAACTGGAACCTGGGGACACTTTCTCCGTCGTGTTCCTCAGTGGGAACCATTAAAACTTCAGGAAACTTCAGACTTTCAATTTAAGTTTGAGTTCTTGAGAAGTTTTTTGAAGACACTCTCAGGGACTGAGTCTGATGTAAACAACACCAAATCCCCTAGAGGCTCATTAAAGTCCCTGTGCTGTGTCTGTGCTGCTGAGCTTTAAAGGAACAGCTCTTCCCAGGGCCAGCTCCTCTCCCAGCCCAGCAGGGCTGAGGGCTCTGCCTGCAGGCACTGAGGGGACAGGAGCCGGGCAGAGACAGGCTGAAGGCAATCAGGATTGGGAAGACATTGAACTGAGACTTCACTTGGGGAAAGATCTTCACAGCCCTGTGCATGGTGAGTGTGTGGGTGCAGGGCAATGACCCCTGTGCTCCTGGAGGGATCTCCTGAAGCCAGGACACCCCACAGCCTGGGGGATGTGTCAGGAGGACTCTCCCAGTTTCTTTGTGCCACAGGCGCAGGAGGAGGAGGAGGATGTGCTGCAGAGCCGGGCTGTCCTGGGCACCGTCAGAGGGACAGGGCAGGACGGCTCCTGCTGCCAGGGACGGCTGCAGGGGGTGAAGTTGGGGCTGCAGCCAGGGCTGCTCAGAGCTCCAGCTCATGCCCTGCTCATTTCTGAGAGGACTTGTCATGAACTCATTCAGGGCAGGAGTTTCCTGCTCGGGTCTCTGCTTTGCTGAATCTGTGCTCCAACTTTTCCCGGGCTCAGCTTGGTGGCAATGGAAACTCAGCTGTGCAGAGTAGAGCAGGGGCTGAGGATTCCTGGGCACCTCAGCAAGTGCCTGCATCTGCCCAGCTTCCAGATCCATGCAGCATCACCTTTCCATGGTGCCCAGGATGGGGGAGCTGTTCTTTAATCCCTGCAGGGCCCAGCAGCTGCAGGGCAGGGCTGGCTCAGGGGCTGGGCTGGGCTCTGGCAGCTCTGGCAGAGAAGGAGCCCGGGGCCACAGGAGCAGCTGGGGCTGGGACAGCTCCAGCAGCAGAGCCGTGGGCAAGCAGGGAGGGAGGCAGTGCTGAGGGAAGCGCTGCAGGGCAGATGTGCCACCTGCCGGGCCTGCCCTGCAGGGCACAAACTGCTCTGAGCAGCACAGCTCTTGTGTCCCCTCGCAGCCAGCACAGCCCTCAGCCCGGGGGCTCGGGGCCCTCAGTCCCTCCTGGGCCGGCAGAGCAGCCCCAGAGATGAAGGGCATCTCTGCGGCCATGTGCCCATTCCCTGCTGACCAGGGCCTGAAGGCCACTGTCCTGCCCTGCTGCTGCCTGGCAGGGGCTGGGCAGGGCTGGCCAGGGAAAGGCTTTTACTCAGGCCCGGCTCTCTCTCTCCCCTTGCCTTGCCCAGGTGCTTCTGGCATTGCTGAGGGGCTCTCTGCAATGGCAGTTCCAGCTGCAGGGCCAGGCCCAGCCCTTGGGCTCCTCCTGTGCAGGCTAAGCACAGCAATGGGGTGTCCCAGCTCCCTGTGCCTGGGGAGCTCTGGGCAGGGCAGCCTGGGGGGCTGGAAATGAGCCCACTGTTCTGACTCTGGGAAAGGCAGGAGCCCCTTTGTGTGCCAGGGATTCTCTGCTCTCAGCTGTGTCTCTTGGCTGTCCAGGCTAACGCAGGAGTGGATCTCAGAAAGGTGCAAGTGCAGGGCAGTTGGAACAGGAGAGAGGGACAGAGCAGGTCCCCTCAGTCTGCACTAAGCCTCAGACAATCCGCCTGACTCCCTGGACTCTCTGTTCTCCCCAGGTGCAGCAAAATCTCTTGTTCTGCCTCCTGCAATCCCCATCCCTTCATGCAGTCAGCTCCTCTGCCTTGACTCAACATTCTTTATACAAATCCCAAAAACAGGACTGGCCCCTGCCCTTAATGTGCCCCTGCACTGACTGGGGGTCAGGGCTGACTCCCAGGTTTCCTGCAGACCAAGGTCCAGCTCCTCACACAACATTGGCCAGCAGCAATCAGGGCTCCAGCAACAGAGTTGAAGGAAGATCTCTGAGACATGGACAGGGGCAGTTGTTTAGTGGAAGAAATGGGTCTATGAGAAATAACTTTGCCTTTTCTGTGAGAAATCTCCCCTCAATTATCACTGTAATTCCTTCTTGAAAAGGTTCCAATGTCTGGAGACAGCAAATGTCCAACAGCAGTTCCATCAGGCACTTCCTCTTGCTGGCACTGGCAGACACGTGGCAGCTGCAGCTCCTGCACTTCTGCCTCTTGCTGGGCATCTCCCTGACTGCCCTCCTGGGCAACGGCCTCATCATCAGTGCCGTAGCCTACGGCCACCACCTGCACACACCCATGTTCTTCTTCCTGCTCAACCTGGCCCTCAGCGACCTGGGCTCCATCTGCACCACTGTCCCCAAAGCCATGCACAATTCCCTCTGGGACACCAGGAACATCTCCTACACAGGATGTGCTGCACAGCTCTTTTTCTTTATGTTCTTCATTGGAGCAGAGTTTTATCTGCTGACTGTGATGACCGCTATGTGTCCATCTGCAAACCCCTGCACTACGGGACCCTCCTGGGCAGCAGAGCTTGTGCCCACATGGCAGCAGCTGCCTGGGCCAGTGCCTTTCTCAATGCTCTGGTGCACATGGCCAATACATTTTCCCTGCCCCTGTGCCATGGCAATGCCCTGGGCCAGTTCTTCTGTGAAATTCCCCAGATCCTCAAGGTCTCCTGCTCACACTCTAATCTCAGGGAACTTGGTCTTCTTTCTGTTACTGTCTTTTTGGTATTTGGTTGTTTTTTGTTCATTGTTTTCTCCTATGTGCAGATCTTCAGGGCCGTGCTGAGGATCCCCTCTGAGCAGGGACGGCACAAAGCCTTTTCCACCTGCCTCCCTCACCTGGCTGTGGTCTCCCTCTTTTTCAGCACAGGCACATTTTCCTACCTGAAGCCCTCCTCCATCTCCTCCCCATTGCTGGATCTGGCCCTGTCGGTTCTGTACTCGGTGGTGCCGCCAGTCCTGAATCCCCTCATCTATAGCCTGAGGAACCAGGAGCTCAAGGCTGCAGTGTGGACACTGATGACTGGATGCTTTCAAAAACATTTAAATGCTGGCCACTTTCTGCAAATCATTTGTAATAAAAGTCATCCTTGATACTTTTTGTTGCTTTGGTTGTGGTGTTTTTTCCTTTGTTTTACTTTCATTATATTGTCCACAGATAAATATCATTGCTTGTGCAATTTCTCATTTTGTTACTTTCTGCCTTCTCTGTGGCCACATACTGTGTCAATGACGGGCTGCATCCCTGGTGCCTCTAAAGGATCTCCAGGCAGAGTTTTCTGCAGAGATGCCCTTTTGTTGCCTTCTCTGGAGCTGCAGCAGCAATGTCTGTGTGCAGAGCTGGGGGCAGATCAGGGCTGGCACAGCAGCTGTGCCCAGCAGCAGCAGCACTTGGTGTTGCCAGTGCTGCTGCCGTGGCCCTGCCCCACTGCCCTGGTGGCCCTGGTGTTGCTGCAGGTCCTGAGTGCTCTCGGGGCCGGGCACAGTCCTGGGGGTGGCAGTGCCTGGGCTGCAGCAGGGACAGGCCATGGGCACTGCTGGGGCAGAGCTGATGCCTCAGGCCAGGGCCTGGGGGCTCCAGGCTCCTTGCCCAGGCTCTCTCAAGAACACGGCCAGGCCAATGCTCAGCACAGAAAACCCCCGTGAGAAGCCCCAGGCTGGCCGTGGGCAGTCTGGGGGCAAACAGCAGGGCTGGGGCTCTGCAAGGGCCCTGGGGCAGACAGGAAGGAGCAGCAGAGCAGGGGCTGATCCATCCCCAGTGCGCTGTACAGCCCAGGGCAGCGTCCCAGAGCGTCCTGATGGAGCTGCCAACAACATCCCCCCTCTGCAGCCCTGGCCTCTCCCCTGGCTCACAGAGATGCCCCATCCTTGCAGGCACAGACACGGCAGCACTGGCTCAGCAGCCCCTGTTTGCATAGCCCACAGCAGGGGGAGCACCCCCATGCTGTTGATGTGGGGATATGAACCTGAGGGAGCACAAATGCCATCAACCCCTGGGTCCAGCAAGGGTTGGGGGACACCAGGGAAACCACTCAGCTTTGTCTGGGCCTCTGCACTCAGCCAGAAAGTTTTTTCCCATCAGCTGGGAGTTTCCTGTCCCACTGCAGACGCTGTTGTTCAGAGCCACGGCTGCCTGGCAGCTGCCCCCAAACTGCCCTGAGCATTTCCTCTGCTTCACATTTGCTTTCTTTATACCCCCTGCTTCACATTTCTTCTTATTGCCCACCCCAGGGGGCCCACAACTGGACACAGCACTCGAGGTGCTGCCCAAGCAGTGCCCAGCACAGGGGAAGAATCCCTGCCCTGTTCCTGCTGGCTACACCATTCCTGATGCAGGCCAGGAGCCATTGGCCTTCTTGCCCACCTGGGCACTCTGCTGGCTCATGCCCAGCCTGCTGTCCATCAGTCCCTGCAGGTTCCTTTCTGCCTGCCTTTTCTCCAGCCCCTCTGTCCCCAGCCTGTAGCACTGCAGGGGTTGTTCTGGCCAAAGTGCAGAACCCAGCACTTGGTCTTTCTAAACCTCACCTTTTTGGATTTGGGCCCTGGATCCAGCCTGTCCAGGGCCCTGTGCAGAGCCCTCCTGACCTCCAGCAGATCAACACTCACATCCAGCTTGGTGTCATTTGCAAAGATGTCCTTGGTTCCATGGGGCCCCTCAGTGTCACAATGGCCTCTTGGTTACACTAGGCCCAGCACTGTCACACTGGTCTCCTTGGTTCCATAGGGCCCCAAAATGTGACAGTTGACCCCTTGGTTCTGTGGGACTTCACAGTGTCATAACGTTCTCGTTGGTGCTGCAGTTCCACAGTGGGCCCTTGTTTCCATGAGGCCCCCAAGTGTCACATTGCCCCTATGGTTACACGAGGTCCCACACTGTCACCATGGTGCCTGTGGTTCCACAAGTCCCCTCAGTGTCACAATGGACTCCTTGTTTCCACAAGGCCACACACTGTCACAACGTTCTTCCAGATTCCTTGAGGCCCCATCGTGTCACAGTGGCCCCTTGGTTACACAGGATCCAGAAGTGTCACAATGTCCCCTTGGTTCCACTGGGCCCTGGAGTCTCCCAATGGTCTCCTTGGTTTTGCAGTGCCAAAATGGTGAAACCCCTTGGTTAAACAAGGCCCTGCAGTGTCACAATGGTCTCTGTGGTTCCATGAAGACCCAGAGTGTCACGGAGCACTCCGTGGGTCCATTTGGCCTCAGAGCACCACAGTGGACCCCTGGGTCTGTGGGGCTGCACAGTGTCACCATGGTCCTCTTAGTTCCACTAGGCCCTGCAGTGTCACAATGGCCCCAGAATATCCCAATCATCACAGAATGACAGAATCAAATAGGCTGGAAAAGACCTTTGAGATGATCAAGTCCAACCAATGCCCTAATACTGCCTTGTCACCCAGATCATGGCACTAAGTGCCACTGGAGAGGGACAGTGACTCTGCCACCTCTCCCCTGGCCAGCCCATTCCAATGCCCACTCACCCTTTCTGTGAAGAACTTCTTCCTATTGTCCAGCCTGACCCTCCCCTGGTGCACCTTAAGGCTATGTCTTCTTGTCCTGCCCTCCAGCAGATCCACAATCACACCCAGCTTGGTGCCATCAGCAATTTGTGAATGGTGGACTCGATCCCCTCACCCAGATCATCAATGAAAAGATTAAACAGGACTGGGCCCAGCACAGATCCCTGGGGGACACCGCCAGTGCCTGGACACCAGCTGGGTGCAGCACCATCCCCACCACTCTCTGGGCCCAGCCTCCAGCTGGCTCTTTACCCTGGGAAGGGTGAACATGTCCAAGCCATGGGCTGCAGTTTTTCCAGGGAATTCTGTGGCTCATTGTTTTAAAGGCTTTGAAGTCCAAGCACACAACATCCACAGCATTTCCTGCATCCATAGGTGGGTCACCTGGTCATAAAAGGAGATCAGGTTGGTCAGGCAGGACCTGCCACCCCTAAATTCATGCTGACTGGCTCTGATCCCTCGACCATCCTGTGGGTGCCCTGTAATGGCACTCAGGGTGATCTGTTCCATAACCTTGCTGGGCACCCAGATCAGGCTGACAGGCCTGGAGTTGCCCAGCTCCTCCTTCCAGCCCTTCTTGGGGATGGGCTCACACTGGCACCTCCAGTCCTCTGGGACCTCCCTTCTGAGCCAGGACTGATGGTAAATGATGGAGAGCAGCTTGGGGAGATCATCCACAGCTCCCTCATCCTCCTAGGATGGGTCCCATCTGATCCCACACACCTGTGAGAATCTGAGTGGCTCAGCAGGTCACCAGCTGCTTCCTCCTGGATTACAGGGCCTGTTCTGGTCCCTGTGCCCATCTACCAGCTTAGGAGAGCACTTGTCCTGAGGACAGCCTGTCCTAATATTGAAAATTGACAGAAGATATTAAGTAGCTTAGTCTTTTACTTATCTTCAGTTACTCTGTTCTCAACTGCAATCAATAAAGGGTTGTGGTTCTCCCTCTCCCTCCTTTTGCTATAAAATTTTATAAAAACAATTTTTTATTCTTCTTATAGAAACCGCCAGGTTAGGTTCTAATTGAGCTTTCACCTCTCAACTTTTCTTCCTGCATAACCTAACAATATCCTTAAAAACTTCCTGAGTTGCTGGCCCTTTTTCCCTGAGTTCCTACAAAACCTCCATGCCCTGCCAGGCCAGTCATTTACCTCACTAGCTCATCTTTTGCCACACTGGGACAGGCTGCTCCTTCCCCCTTAAGATTACTTTCTTGAAATGTGTCCATCCTTCCTGGACCCCTTGGTTCTTAAGGCCTGTGTCCCCTAAAAAGATCAGTACCAGATTTAGTACTCCACACATCAGCATCCTAAATAGATCAAAGTCTGCCCTTCCTAATTCCAGTGTTGAAGTTTTGTTGCTGCCCCTCCTTCTTTCACAGAACATTGAACACTTCATTATTTCATGGTCACTGTGCCCCAGGCAGCCTCTGAGCCCCACATCTGCCACCAGCCCTTCTCTGTGCACAGCAGGAGACAGAGCTTTTCTTGGCAGTGGGAGTGTTACCAAAAATTCTGTAAAACAGAAAACTCCTTAACACCAATGTAGCATTAAGAAGCAGCATTCTTTATTCAGCTGGATGCACGGGGGATGACTCCTCCCAAAGCTGTGCATGCTGAGTACAGGAAAGTTTCTGTTTCTATTCTGTATTTTGCACACATATTCATTGATTGTCCTAGACTAGACATACATATGATAATAATTTCCCCAAAATCAATAACATATTTCCCCTCCCCTTTATCCATGTGTTCTTCCAGACCCTGGGGGTCTCTCTGGTGGTCCCTGGTGGTCATGGACCCCAATGTTCCAGTGGGCCTGGCTGAGCTTGCAGAACACTGAGGCTGCTGAACTTGCAGTTCCCCTTCTCACACAATGGGCATTGTGTGGCCTCCATAGGCTTGGGGTTGTGGAGAACAAGCTCCAGGTGTGAGTTCACCAGGCGGAGACAATTTATCATCTGGTTACATGAGGACACAGAGTGGGCTATTACATCATAGACTGCCTCTGTGACATTACATAGCCAGCTGTGACATCACAGATAGGCTGTTCTATCACAGACCATCTGTGGGGCATTGGAGAATGGGCTGTGACATCCCAGAGGGGCTGTGTGACATCCCAGCAGGGCTGTGTCAGGTCACTGGGTTGGTCACTCTGCCCCAGCTCCCCCTCACAGTTTCTCCCAACAAGTCCAATGTTGTTCATGCCCAGCAGGGTCCCTGTCCCCCAGGATCCCCCCGGCCCACCTGGAGCCACAGCCTCCACCAAAGGATGTTCCACAGGATCCACCCCAGAGCCTGACATGGGGACAAGGAGCCAGGGCTGTATGACCAGGACAGCAAGGACATGGGTTATCCAGTCACTGTGGCCTGGATTGGGTTCTCCATGGCAGGAAAGATGTCTGGAAGCTGGAGCAGGGTCTGGGAAGGGCCTCCAAGG